ATACTGCTTTTTCACTTACTTATCAGGGGATCATGTAATGACAACACATTATCACCTGACGAATAAAAGCAACATTTATCTTTCTTTTCCATTGACCCTCAACCAGACGTACCACCGGGAATCAACCCGATGGTGCAATGTGCGTTCGAAATCTTTGTGCTCAATGCGTCTGCAATTCGCACTATTTATCGCAGCTAGCTGCGTTCTTCATCGATCCACGAGCCAAGTGATCCACCGCTAAGAGTATATTAATTATACTGATGTTGTAAAAAAAATTCGAGANNTTGGCAGCACAACTAGCTCAAGTGCTCATTAAGTCTACTTAATTAACACTACTTGCATAAGGTTAACTAAGCTATCGCTTCATCTTCATCGTTACCGACGGTCAGGCGATAACTTGGATAAAGTATAGACACCAACGAGTATCACCGTTTTGTTCATCACACCACACCAATCAACAACCCTCGCCGTATATGATTGGCTAGTGCTATTTTAGCTCCTACTCACTGCTTTAGCGTGTCAAGTAGTGCTGTATAATTGTGTGTGAAAGTGTTTGAAGCTCGATAATGATCCTTCCGCAGGTTCACCTACGGAAACCTTGTTACGACTTTTGCCCGGTTCAAGCCACTGCGATTAAAGCGGTTTCCACCAAAGAATCTCCACCTCGAAAGGTATCGAAACAGCAGTCCCCGCTTTTCTCGAAACGGCTCAGTCCCGGGCAGCGACGGGCGGTGTGTACAAAGGGCAGGGACGTAATCAACGTGAGCTGATGACTCACACTTACTAGGAATTCCTCGTTCAAGGGAAATAATTGCAATTCCCGATCCCGATCACGGAGGATTTTCAAGGGGTTACCAGTACCTTTCGGCAATGGTTACAGCACGCTGATTCCTCCAGTGTAGCGCGCGTGCAGCCCTGGACATCTAAGGGCATCACAGACCTGTTATTGCTCAACTTCATGCGGCTGAACACCGCTTGTCCCTCTAAGAAGTTGTCTGAACAAAACTATTCAGTAACTATTTAGTAGGCCAGAGTCTCGCTCGTTATCGGAATAAACCAGACAAATCACTCCACCAACTAAGAACGGCCATGCACCACCAACCACCGAATCATGAAAGAGCTCTCAATCTGTCAATCCTCACGGTGTCCGGGCCAGGTGAGTTTTCCCGTGTTGAGTCAAATTAAGCCGCAGGCTCCACTCCTGGTGGTGCCCTTCCGTCAATTTCTTTAAGTTTCAGCTTTGCAACCATACTTCCCCCGGAACCGAAAAACTTTCGTTTCCGGGAAGCTGCCCGTCAAGGCGTATTTACCGCCAACGGAACGCTAGTTGGTATCGTTTACGGTCAGAACTAGGGCGGTATCTGATCGCCTTCGAACCTCTGACTTTCGTTCTTGATTAATGAAGACATTCTTGGCAAATGCTTTCGCAGTCGTACGTCTCGCTACGGTCCAAGAATTTCACCTCTCACGCAGCGATACGAATGCCCCCGTCCGTCCCTCTTAACCATTATCTCAGATCAGAAAACCAACAAAATAGAACCGAGATCCTATTCCATTATTCCATGCACGAGTATTCAGGCATTAGCCCGCATTGAGCACTCTAATTTTTTCAAGGTAAACTTGCTAGCCACCATACGCAACCGATCAAGGCAACGTATGGAAAACTCGCAATATTAGTCTAGGAGCCCAGTTCTCATCCAATGGATGGACCAGGTCCTCAGACGCAGATCCAACTACGAGCTTTTTAACCGCAGCAATGACGATATACACTTTGAGAGCTGGAATTACCGCGGCTGCTGGCACCAGACTTGCCCTCTCATAGATCCTCGTTAACAGGTTTAAATTGTACCCATTCCGATAACCGGCCTCAAAGAGAACGGTCTCGTTATTTTTCGTCACTACCTCCTCATTCTGAGAGTGGGTAATTTGCGCGCCTGCTGCCTTCCTTGGATGTGGTAGCCGTTTCTCAGGCTCCCTCTCCGGAGTCGAACCCTTATTCTCCGTTACCCGTTACAACCATGGTAGGCACATAAACTACCATCGAAAGTTGATAAGGCAGACACTTGATAGATATGTCGCCGGTACAAGACCATGCGATCAGCCATAGCTATTCAGAGTCACCAATTTACGGGTTAAGCCAATAACCCGATTGGTTTTAATCTAATAGATGCGCTCGTCCATAAGTCGGAGCTTTGGTGCATGTATTAGCTCTAGAATTGCCACAGTTATCCACGTTGGATAATCAACATCAAGTACATTATAGCTGTTATAATGAGCCGTTCGCGGTTTCACCCTTATAGGTTTATTTGAACTTACACATGCATGGCTTAGCCTTTGAGACAAGCATATAACCGCCGACAGAATCAATCGGGGAAATGACTCAGTGATAAAAAGACTCGTCATATATGATACGTCCATCAACATATACATCTCACTCATCGCATATTATCATATCACGATCTATGTACACATTGCGCTCCGTATCATATATTCCTCGTCGTTCATCTCGCTTTATCACTATCATCATTATCCAGCGTATGTGTGCATCACACACATATCAATCTCGACATTTTCTTCGCTTATCAAACAAACTTCGCATATAAGTAAGGTTACCCATTCATCGATAATTTCAAACTTTAAAATATACAACGGAGCATTATGATACCTCAATCACACTTAAGAAATCACCACACACGTATGTGTGACTCATACAATCAGTCACATCAGACACACATACACACATATGCGTTCTATGTCATGTCTGCGCTCTGACCACCGATTTCTCGTCTGCTGGAATTCTCGTTTCTCGAGACAATCCATTGCTCAAGTTGGAGGAAAGAATAATCAGCCAAACTTTTCCAACAACGAGACTTCCAATTCATTTTTCTCTATTAATGTTGCAGTATCTCGAACTTTACATACTAAACTTTATCAATTAATTATCAAAATAAACAATGAATTAATTCAATTAAAAAATTCACACAAAGAAAAACGATAAAATATACAAAGCATTATCCAAGATAATGAATAGTTTTACATATTATTACTTTTAACACACAGCTATCACAAAAAAATACATCCAAATTTTTTACCAAACCAAGTCAAAAAACCTCCTATACGTCTGAACAGTCCATATCACGTCATTACTATTGTTATTACTATTATCATTTATACATTATTTCTAATAAATCTACTAAATCATTCTTGACAAATTTAATGAAAATATGATCACAAATTAATTATAACACTTCTAACTAAATGGATGTAATACACATAACAATTCTGGTATCAACAGAAGAATATCATCGAGCAAAATTTAAATAAACAGTCAATAGTGACCTTATCATCAGTTCTCGTGGTCGACAGAAAATGGTCGATCACACCGATTCGTTTCGGTACAATCTACATTGTTCATAATATTACCTACTAAGCACTTCATGCAGTCGATAATTGATATTTGTAGACCAAATTGACAGTACCTAAACAAAGGAGTTACACTGAATCGTGTGAACAAAGAAAGTCATGCTGAGATGGGGAATTGTACAGACATGGAAGGGATTAAGAAAATAGTAAAGCAGTCAGACATGCGAAACAGATAAATCGAATTACCACCCCTCATCCTTTGAATGAAAAAAAAAAAGATAGAAGGGGAATTAAATTTTCAATATATTATTTTATAGCTTATTTTGCTCGTTGGCAATATATGTACGTATATAAACGAAACAAAATTAATTACGTACAAAATATAACGCCAGTGATAGTTGTTAACTTTTTACCCTTTCTGAAGGGGAAAAAAGGATAAAGAATTTTTAATTTTCATCTAGAGTGAATATTT